AGGTGACAAAAGACAAAAAGTAGATAGTAAATACAAAAAAGATAAGTATCAACTTAAAAAAAATACCAAAACATGCTGAAATTTTTGTCATAAGCTTTTTCAAAAACTTCAGCCCAATGTGATGAAGTAATTTAGTGCATTTATAAAACTTCAGCACATAATAAGCTGAAGTTTTTCATCGTGCATTCAATAGTTTTGTTCTAAATGCTTTTTTCAAAAACTTCGGCTAATGGAGCTGAAGTTAGTTAGTTCATTTCTGACAACTTCAGCACTTGATGAGCTGAAGTTTTTCTCCTGGACTCGATAGTTTTTGTCGTAAAGCTTTTTCAAATAACTTCAGCTCCATGTGTTGAAGTTATTTAGTTCATTNGGAGAAGTCCAAAAAACTTCATATGTGACGGAGAGTGGCCACATCAAATACTCGAGCCCCAGGACAATTTTACTAAAAGTTAGATTTATCAACTAGTAAAAGAGAAAATTGTTGAGAAACTCGAGTGTTTGATCTGGCCACTCTCCTTCACATATGAAGTATTTAGACTTTTCCTTCATTATCTTTGCTTCCCATGAACTCCCTGCTACACCAATAAGCATGTCTCTGCCAACATTTTCTTGTTTTTCTTTGAATATAAATTTAAAGAAATATGATAGAAGTCTATGGATGACAATGAAAATTTTCAAGTGAAGAGATCATTAATATAGCCAAAGAGTGTACCTAATCAATTTAATATCTATAAATGCTGAAGATATTGTTAACTGTTTTTTGTTCAGAGAAATTGAATGTAACAAGATAAGTAGTTGGCAAAACAAGAGGTAAATGCTAGTAGTTGGTAAATGCAATAAAAAAATAGTAAAAAATAAGGCCACAAAAAGTAGGTGATATAGGTGATAAATGACAAAAAGTAGCTAGAAAATGCAAAAAATATAGCCCAATGTGCTGAAGATTTTTAGTGTATTTCTAAAAACTTCAGCCCTTGATAAAGCTGAAGTTTTTGTATTGAATTCAATAGTTTTTGTCGTACAGCTTCTTCAAAACACTTCAGCACATTCTACTGAAGTTATTTAGTGTATTCTAAAAATTTCAGCTCTTGATAAGCTGAAGTTTTTTTGTTGGATTCAATATTTTTTTCGTACAGCTTTTTCAAAAAAAAATTCAGCTCAACGTGCTGAGGTTTTTTAGTGTATTTCTAAAAATATCAACATTTGATAAGCGGAAGTTTTTGTCCTTCAGTCGATACTTTTGTTATGACTTTTAACTAAAACTTCAGCTTAAAAAGCAGAAATCATTTACTTCATGCTTAAGTTTTTTCAACAAAAATGTACTTAAAATTCATAATAAAAGACAGAAACATATTTGTATGAACAAAAGTGAAATAAAAAAAATACTTAATGTATATTCACAAAATACAAATTATGTGCAACCAATCCTCTAATCAAAAAATTCACACACAGTCTCTTCAAAATCTCCATAATCATGTCCTTGTTATTCTTCTGGAGTTTCATAGCCGCTATTTTTTTCCACTTTCTATGAGCCCAAAGATTGGCAGTCAATTCTGTCCTGAAGGTCAATGACTGACTTTGATCGAAATTGAAGACATCTTCTTTATTCAACCCCATATCAATTAACTTAAGAGCAAATACACCACAATCAACACTACAAAAAAAACATATGAAAAATAGTTAACACAAGGGAAAAAAATAATAAACATAAGATGCATGGTAAAACATATGCGAAATACGTACTTGTTAGTCTGCTGCAGTGAGCTCATCCACTTAATTTGAAATTTTTCCACAGGACTATCCCCATAAAATTTATTGTGTGCCTCAATTTTCAAGCATTTGAGACAGTGTGGGATCAAGCGGGCATAATTTCTGACATGTTCAACAGCACGCTCATATGTTACACTGCCCATGGAATCATACACATATATAAATTTATCTTTAAAGTCCAGAATTCCAAAAAAGTAGTGTGTGGATCTCTGGGCCATCATTGGCTTAAGTCGAAATGGAAAGAATACTTTTCTGGCAGATGCCCATGAGATACCACAGGAAAGGTCGAGGCCTTTTACGTAGTTGGCCACCTTTTCATTCGTTGATTCTTCCTCAAACCAACTAAAGTCCGTAAGTGGCTGAATAACCGCTTCTTCTTCTTCTTCTTCTTGAACCTGTTGTTTGGATATCCTCTTTCTCTTTGATTTGCTCTTTTTTTTTATCCTCCATTCTCTTTTGCTTCCTTTTTCTAATTTTATCCATCTATTCTTCTGAAGGATGAATACCAGCCTGCTTAGTCATATACGGATCAAAAATTAAATCAGTTACTGCAAATCTTGATTTTGGATAAGCTGGAAGGTGATAACAATATTTTTGGAGCAAGTAATATATGCCCACATCCATATGCTACAAATGAACAACAACAAATGATAACATGTGAAAAAACTACAAACAACATGACAAAAACTTAAGCATATTCAGTTTGAAGTGTTAGAAACTAATCTAAAAACTTCAGCATGTTTAATTTAAAAGTTTTAAAAAAAAACTAGAGAATGCATGTCAAAAACTTCAGCACGATTAGGCTTAAGTGTTAGCAAATAAGCTAAAAACTTCAGCATTTTAGTATGAATAAAGCTGAAGTTTTCCAAATTACAGTACAAAAACTTTACTATAAAAAATAAGTTAAAGTTTAGGGAAATACAGTTGAAAACCAATTCAAAAAACAAACTTAATAACGTACTTCATCCGCAAGATTAGAGTTAGGATCCATAAGCTCGGTAAAGAATGATTTTCGAATATCAATTCCAGCTAATCTGAATGGATTGGAATCATATTCACTAGCATCCATCTCCAACCACTCTGTAAATCTTTGCATCAATCCACTGTCTTGATTAGCATAATGGAAGGGACACCTTCGTATATTCTTTCCTACTTTCCAATCTTGCCTCATTTCCTTTCGTTTATGAACTACGTAAGGAGATCTCAACCAAATACTCTCCATACGAATCCTTTTCCCTTTTTTCTGGTTTTCCTTTCACTTTCTCTTCCTGCTACTCTATCACAACTAACTGTTGTTGTTCACCAGCAGGGGGAGAAACCACAGCCATAGTGGCAGATACTTGACCAACTCCCTACTGTTCATGACATTCTTGTCTCTCTTCACGAACAACAACAGCAGCAGAATTACCTTCTGAATCAGTCCCTTGTGTACTACCAAGTGAAAATGAACATAAATTGAAGTTGGGGATATCACTGGTGTCACACATAGGAGAACTGGAAATCTTCCTTCTCTTAGAATTTGGAAGAAGTTGCGATGCATCAGATGATATCTGCAAAAGCAAGGAAAATATAAACGTAAATAAAACTGATACAAAACACACATTAGGCAAAAAAACAACTTGTAATCGAATTGCAGAAAATAATTACCTGGTCTAAGTGTTGAGACACAAATGGTGTTTGCATTCCAACATATCCATTTCCTTTACCTTCAGATATGCATGTATTTTCATGCGGAAAAAAAATATAAATAATACTGATTAAATTTTGTAAAGTAATACCAACACATTTCACACCTATCTGTGAGCCAACAGGTGTGAATAAATGTATTTCTCCTTTTTGATATAGCTGCATAAGTTTACTAAATTCTTTTTGAGCTGCCTCGAGTCTTTCTGAAAAATCATTCAAAAACACAACAAAAAAAATAAAATATGTAAAGTTTCAAACAGTAAAAAATATACTTCGATCAAATGTAATAAATTCATGATCTATAGAATACCTTGACGTTTGTCTTCCGCTGTGGTTTCCCCAGGCTGCATGCCTTTCTCGATATCAGCAATTCCAACTTCATTCAATTGTGCACCAACGTCGAGGAGCATTGGAGTATTATCTGGAAGGTTTTTCTCAACTCTACCTTCATTTAATTCGGCATCATAAGAGACTTTTTGAGTTGTGTCAATTGAAACACAACTAGTTTCAACTTCCACTGCATATTCATAAAGAGGGGAAATAGATCAACTAGTTTTTCTATATAAATAACATAGTAAAAATTTATACCTGTAGTGAATATTTCACTACAGGACATTATCAAAAAGATCAGTTAAAACTTCAATCTCTAAGAAGGCTGAAGTTCGACAGTTACAAAAATAAAAATTTCAGCTCTAGAGCTGAAGTTCGACAGCTACAAAAAAAATCTTCAACTAAAGTTTTGTTTCATGTTTTGTGTTTTTTTGTTATATATTTTTATGAACTATTATCAACTTCACACTTTATACCTGTAGTAACAATTTCCTGCGTATCACCACCTAAAACTTCCTTGCAAATAGCTAGTGCTCCGTCAAACAAATTGCCCTGTCCAATATCGCTTTCCAAAGAACAACTCGATGCATGTTTTTCAGTACCAACAACTTGATCATCTGCACCTTGTTGTTGAACATGTTTATCACATTCACCAGTCGTTTCCTTACGTGTAGCATTATCATCTGCGACTTTACGCGATGGATCATGAGCAGCATGTTCTTCAACTTGATTATCTGCACATTGCTTGCTTCCAACATTCTCAGTTGCTAACTGTTCTTCATCATTTACATCTCTGCTCAATATATCAGCACTGAAACGTTCCTCTTCAACTTGTTTCTGAACATGTTGATCGCCTTCAAAAGACGCTTCCTCATGTGTAACATTTACATCTGCGACTTTATTTGATGCATTAATATCCGATGGAGGTTCGTAACAGTCAATCACCCTATCATATTCTCGATGGTTACTCAAATCAAAATTGTCATCGTCCATTTTATTTGATTTGTTGACAATCTTAAACAACTATTCAAACTTCTCATCGAAATATTCCTAGAAAAAAATTACTAACAATGATTAATCTGAATAACATCAGCAAAAATAAAAAGACTTCTCTATAAATTAGCTTACCTTCACTTTTACAAAAACCGCATCAACAATAGTAGATCACTCATCCTTTTTAAACTTATCGAAAACTTCGTTCACGATCGTGCTTCTTTCTTTTTCTGCATGCCTTTGAACCTCCGTCGTTAACCTCTAAAATAGATAAACAACAAAAATTCAGATATAGAAAAAAACTTTAGCTCAAAAACATGCTGTACTTTTACAAAAACAAAACCAAAAAACTTTAGATCAAAACTTACAGAACATATTGTCTCAAGTAATTTATTGTCATCAAAGTCAGATGTAGAACGGGTAGAACGACTCAGGGTACGAGATGATTTGCCAATAAAAGGAATTCGATTTGGTTCTTTTGATCGACTTCGACTACGTGGTGATTCACCAATGATAAGAATTCGATTCGCTTCTTTTGATCGACTCACAATACGTGGTGATTCACCAGTTGAAGGAATTGCATTAACTACCTTTGAACGAATTAAAGGCATTGAATTCAATTCATCTTCTGTAGGAATTATATCCAATACCCTAAAGTCGCGATATCTCTGTTTAATACAAAAAAGTATATTATGAGGAGAAAAAAACTAATACATCAACATATTAACACAAAGACAAAAAAAAGTAACTTCATGAGTACTGAACATATAATAAAGTTCAGCAAATTTAGGCTCTCCCACACATACATAACATAACATCCTGGGAACCTGAGGGGTATCAAGGTACTCATCCTCTCTTATATACATCTCCCGAACATCTGGGAAGCACTCATAGAACCAAGCACATAACGGATATGGAAATCCACCAAGTTTATACTCAGTTGTATGTAATTTGTTCTGCTTGTCCAATGCATGTTTCAGTGAATAAATGAGCTTCTCATAAGCCATATTACCCCAAGGATATTCAGCACAAACTTTATCATCTTCAACAATAGATGTATACTCCTCCATCTCACATGACTCGGTATTTTTCCCAAACAAAATAGACTCTACAACAAGAATTTCCATAAGCTTAATAGCATCATCATCACTCTCGCATACATGTGCGTGATTCACAGCATTCTTTGGAATTTCATTGCGAGTCATAAAACTTTGAATATCCTTCAAAGTCACACCCTTGGACTTACCAAAATACCGCTTCAGAATATTGTTCTCTCGATTAATTGGTTTTTCAATATTATGTGCTATGATCCGCAAACCACACATAATGTGAAAGTCTTCAAGGGTGAAGGAAACTTCATGACCAAAAATCTTGAAACTAATGGAGTCTTGATCATTGGTGAATATTCGAGAAAGACACAGACAATGAACCAACTTCATGCTGCATTGGAAATTCTTCATAGCCATAATGTATTGAAATGTACCATTAGTAAGCTTATCCCGTTGTGTAGGAGTCAAAAAAGTTGCAATTAATTTCTTCAAATCATGGTTCCCCTTCCAGTAACCCTTATAGTTAAATCAATCTCCAAACTCAAAATATCTTTGCACTGGCCTTGTAGGTGGAAGAGCAGGGATATAAGGACCTGGGGGTATTATAGGTTGTCTAGGTGCTTTGCCTACTTTAGTTGCATTAGGATCTTTAGGTGCTTTGGGAGCCATCTGTTCAAAAAAAGTAAAAGTTACAAAAAATAACATCAGGACATTATCAAAAAGATCAGTTAAAACTTCAATACCTAAGAAGGCTGAAGTTCGACAGTTATAAAACAAAAACTTCAGTTCTAGAGCTGAAGTTCACCAGTAACAAACACAAAAACTTCAACTCCTTAAGCTGGACTTCACCAGTTACAAACATAAAACATTCAGCAAAAAAACATGATGTAGTTTTGACAAAAAAACAAAACACAAAATTCTGTTTATCTAAGGTATCATTGAACTATTATAAAACAAATAATACTTCAGCTCTTAAATAGTATCATATATTTAACTCTCAAAATTTTTAAATACTCGTTCAAAAAACATAAATATAGAATTTTCATCAACAACATAAACACTCATTCAAAAAACCTAAAAATACAATCGTAAAAGTAAAACTAATGCATGACTATCAAAATCAAAACCAGAAATTAAATCATAAAATAAAACCCAGAAAGTTAATGCAATGTACCTGTGATTAAATCGTAATGTGAGAACAACGACGACTAGCAGTTGAAAAATCAAAACAACAACGAAAACCGTTTGATTTCAGAGACGAACAAGTCAAAAAACGCGAATAACAGGAGTGAGAGACAGAAACAGTAGAGGACTAGCGTATACTTGGAAAGGAAGTAGTCTTTTAATAAAGAAGGGCAAAATAGTCTTTTCAAATGGCTTTTAACAAAAAAACGGATACGGGTGCAAACAGAAAGACAAAGCGGCTACAGGTTAAAACGGGGAGTCCAAATAGGACGCCCCGCGAAATTTTTACGAAGCATCGAGGGAACACTCATAACGTTTGGTCTAACAAAGTTTGTGGGTTAGCCACACCAACCAAGGGCCCAAGTTCTTCTTTTAGGCCGCCCACAAAGCATTCAATGAAATAGGCCTCATCTAAATGGGGCCTAGCTCGTAAGACATGGCAGCGTAGATCCTCGAACTTCTTTTGGAAACTGTCCACATCAGCCCATTGTTGCAATCGGTTGAACTCTGTGATTTATTAATGGCCTTGGATTGACCATAATGTTCACAAATATCAACACAAAATTGGGGCCAAGTAACATAACCTCCATGGTCTATCATATAAGAATCGTACCAGTTATCAATGGCCTCCCTGGTATTGATGGCCACATATGTCATTTTTTCGACCTCAGGGACACGGTACAGGTTGAAATAATGATCACAACGCCGAATCCAAGCTCGAGGATTATTACCATCAAATTCTGGGAAAGGCAACTTACCTTTTGGCATGCGCAACCCCTGTTGCTGACGATGGGGTTACCTGTGTTAACGTAGCTCGAGGAGCTCCATGAACAGATGACTGTCCCGACTCCAAATACGTACCTTCTTGAGCTAGCGCCATGTTAGACTGTATATCCTGCCGGAAAGCTTCCCTCCGATGAATATCCACAACCAACGATTCCAAACGTTGGTCTGCAATTTCTCGTTTCTTCTGCAACTCCTCCAAGTCCTCAATCCTCGTTGTTATGAAAGCTTGGATCTGTGTTTCGAGGTTGGAAGCACCACCCCCGTCGTCGGAGTGTCGGGTCTTATCCACCATGGTTGCCCAAGATGGATGCTCTGTTACCAAAATGTAGCGTGTTGAGCTACAACAGTTGGATTTAAGGCAGCTCGTGAACAAAGAAAGGAAAAGAATGAACAAAAGCTAAGCAAAACAGTAATTTGGATTCATAAAATCTGATTGCCGATTACAATGCATAGAAACATAATATAATGATAAAGGCACAGTTGTACTGGCCATTGGTACCTAATGGACAGGTGTCCTTGATTCATTAGACTGTGTACTATAGACTAAATTGTAATATTCCTAAACTAGGAGGCTATAACATAAGGACTGATAAACAATTATAATTAACTAAGGGGCCCCTCTCAATTCCTTCTTGATCTCTAATTCAAATTGTGTCTCACTAATTCGTGACACACTTATATAAATCTTTTTATTTTATGTCCTATTTTTCATAAAGTATACTTCCTCTGTTCCAGTTTATGTGAACTTATTTCCTTTTTGGTCCATTCCAAAAAGAATGAACTCTTTCTAAATTTGGTAACAATTTAGCTTAAAGTTACAATTCTACCATTAATGAGAAGCTTTTATAACCACACAAATACTCTGGGCCCCATTTGGACTTGTTTAGGACCACAAATTCCAAAAGTCTTCATTTTTTTCTTAAACTCCGTGTCCAGTCAAAGAGGTTCACATAAATTGGAACAGAGGGAGTATATAATTCTCCAAGAAAAGTATCGTTAGAAATTTACGTGAGACATAGCTAGAATCCCCTAGACAAGTTAAACTTTCTAATTTTAGATTGATTTTTGTTTTCTTCCCTATTGCATAATACCAGACGGCTGATTACACAAAGCATCAAAGCAAGGTATTATTGCGTCTCAATACAATTTACACATCAAAAAGTTGTTTCTTTAACTTTTGTTTATGGACTTTCCTGTAATTGTTTGTTCAGAAAAGGGATAAAATTCTTTACATGCCAATTGCACCATGACAAAAACATAGGTAGGTATAGTCAGTGTAAAGCATAGTTTAATGGATTGTGGAGTCTATCTCAAAATTAACTTTTGGACGGGATTAATATGTAAGCATATGAATCATTGCGGATCTCTTTCAACCAAAGGTTACATAATTAATTAGATTAATAAACTAGGCAAATCTTGACCATGCATGTAATTGGGCTTAATTAGTAATGCGTGAAAGAGACCCCGAGTGAAGGACAACGAATAGAGACGAATGGTTGGTCTCGAATCTTAATAGTAATTAATTAATTTTATATAAGCAGAAAAATGACGATGCATTCTATAATTGTAAAATTAGTTTTTCACTGACGTACACTGGAGAACTAACTACTACAAATTTGGCCGAACACCATACTTATTTTAAACAAAGTCTAGCAAGTGTTCCCAAAAGCAACGCTTTTGTAAGGGTGACCTTTTATTGTAAAGTGTATTGTTGACGTTAATACGTTACGAGAAGTGTTGCATGCCTTAAGCCTTGCGCTCCCGTTTGGATATAGATTTTTTTTTTCTCATAAAAATTAAAAACATCAAATTTGATCACTTTTATAAAAAAAATTTGAAGAAAAATTTTCAAGCTTCAAAAACTGGTTTGAGCCAGTTTTTGGGTGAAAATCTTTTTTCCGCTTACGAAACTTCAACAAATAAAATTTATGTTTGGACACAATTTCAACTTCCGAAAATTATTTTTTAACACAACTTTAAAAACTCTTTTTTTAAGTTTTAATCAACTCTATGTCCAAACGCCGGCTAAAAATGTGGCCTTTGAACAAAGTTTACTCTTTCTAATAGTTTCAGTCACGTTTTATCAAGTGTGGTTAAAGTCCTACTATCTCCCACTGAAGAACAACACTGTCTTTATTTGGTGGCTGTACTGAAGATTCCAGAAAGAGAATAATACAGCTGAAAGCTGTCAAGAACTACATGTAATAAGCATATATCATTCTTGTACTGCACCATTTGGCTACTTTGCCCAAGTCCAAAAACTAGCTTTTCGACCTATTCACCTGCTCCATATTATTAATTGAGAGTGGCATAATGCACCCTTTCAAATATTAATGTCCTCATCTTGAACGTTGGTTGCAAGAAATTCATCATGAATATTTCATCTCCAGCAATAAAACCAGACGTTACCTTGTCCCTTACTTTATCGTCTTCCACCAGCAGTACCACTACCACTACTGATGCTTCTACGGATGCCTTAAACCCCAAAGAACGAGGCGTCAAACTAATCCAACTACTGCTCACTTGCGCTAATCATGCTTCTACCGGTAATCTCCACCACGCCGACGCGTGCCTGTCCCAAATTCTCCAACTTGCATCGATCACCGGTGATTCCATGCAGCGCCTAGCCGCCTGGTTCGCCTCGTCCTTAGCCATCCGTCTTGTCAAGCGCTGGCCTGGCATCTACAAGGCCTTAAATCATGGAGTACCGGTAATACTTGAATTGAGAAAATAAAGTACCGGCAATTACCCTGTTCTTACATTTTTTTTACGTGGTACTATACCTATTTTTGAGTTGAGAAAGCAGATTTTTTTTACTAAGGTTTTCTTTTAAATATATTTTTGATGTATTGAATATTGTGACTTATATTAATGTGAGCCTATTACTATTTGGGAAGTCAAACAAGGTTTTCTTTGACCAAGATTTTTGTAAATTTTCTTAATATTTAAAATTGTTAACTATTGTGACTTATAATACTTTATATGTAGTTTCTAAATATATAAATTATATTTTAAAATTTTTAATTGAAAATATTGTGTCCGAATTCACACAAAAAATAATCAATTTGACTATTATGCTCCGAAAAGGTTCACATAAATTGAACGGAGGGAGTATTACTTTTTATATAGTTTCTAAATATGTTAATTTTATTTCAAGAAGCTTAAAGAACATATGTCCATATTCAAATCAGAAGTTAAATAGTTTGACCCTCGTACTAATATATAAAATGGAACACAGGGATAACTTATTATAATTGAATAATTACTGCTAAAAGTGATCCATTTTTGTTGTAGGTACCTAGTAGAATTGTCGATCTCGATCAGTCTCGAATCATCTTTGCTAAAGCCTTCCCATATTTGGGCCTTGCGTATGCAGTAATTAACAGGGTATTGATCCAAGCCATGTCTGAGGATCGTATAATCCATATTGTCGATTTGGGTTCTGGAGACACAAAATTGTGGATACCTTTCCTAAAAAATATTGTTAATTTACCAAATGAAACTCCCAATTTGAAGATTACTTGTGTGAACAATAACAAGGCCATGTTAGAAGAAATGGCATCAAGGATTAAAAAAGAAGCTAAAGCCTTAGACATTTCCTTTCAATTCAATTCTTTGAATGTTGATCTCAGGGAGCTAACATTAGATATGCTCAAGGTAAAAGCAGGTGAGTCATTAGCATTCGTATCAGTACTAAATCTCCACGTCTTATTGGTTGAAGACGATCGTATCAATTCACAGTTCAACCTAAACAAGAACAACAACAATAATAACGTCAAAGATTGCAAAAGAATGAGTGAATTTTTAACAATGTTGCATTCCTTGTCACCAAAAGTGTTGATCCTAGTGGAACAAGAAGCTGACCACAATTTGAGCAAACTAGTGGATAGGTTTGTGGAAGGATTGCATTATTATAGTGCATTATTTGATTCAATTGATACCACATTTAAAGGGTCTAATTGTTCATTGTGTGAAGAGAGGGTAGCAGTGGAACAAATGCTAGGGAAGGAAATAGAAAATATGGTGGCATGTGAAGGATTGGAAAGGGAGGAAAGGCATGAAAGATTTGGGAAGTGGATTGTGAGCCCGTGCGATTATGGTACGATATTATGGAAGATGCCAAGAGATTGGTAGAAGCTTATGGTGGAGATGGTTACAAGATAATTAGTCAAAAAGGAAGTTTGATGATATGTTGGCATGACAGACCAATATATTCTGTTTCAGCATGGAATTGTGCCTTTATTAACTAAATTATTGGTTTATTTCATCAATTTTGTGGAATTTTTTGTATAATTGGAGTAGAAATGTTGATGCAAGATATTAGAAGCAAAGCAATATCTTACCGTATAACTTTTTTTTAAAAACTAATTAATCATTGCAACGTAAGACAAATGATGATAATTAACTTGAAGTACTGTTTGTGATTGTCTTGCTTGTGCGCTTTAGTTCTTCCTACAAAGATTATCCGTTACATCAAAAGAATGAATTTTTCGAGTCAAAGCTCATGCAATATAAAGAAAAGATAAAATCTCACCCGATAACAATAGCCTATACAATAGCAGATGGTCTTAAAGAACCTTCATTTAATTAATACTTCCTTGCCAAATCATAACTAATGGTTGATGAGCAATATATGTGGAGACCGAAAGTCCATTCAGCTTTAAGATGCTGTAAATTAAATTAATTTCCATAACATTACTTTTAGTTGCATACAAGCCATTTTATATCCATAATCAGGGTTTAGTCACTTCACTACTTCAATTAATGGTAAGACAGCTCTTATTTTAACTCAAAAAAAGAAAACATTTCACCTCCACTACAAGTTATACCTTAATCCTGTATGGGTCAAAATCCGTCTTTAGAATATTTAGGCCAAGATAGCTTTGAGGGAAACATCCCCAAATCATTATTTGTCAAGTTGGTCCAAGAAGCAGCATAGTCTGCGGTCGAAGAGTGGACCAGAGCCGCAGCCGAGGTGTCAACAAGGGCCGAGGTTGAGGTCAGATAGGATACTAAAGAGTATATTCTAGTGGATATTCTTTGCACTTGTAATATTAGGGTTTTCTAGTAACATGTCCCATATAAATAAATAAAAAGAGACAATGATAGGGGGCATGTGATATTCATTTTGTAAAAAAGACACTTTGACTAAAAAAAAATCGGCTCTCACTTGATACGAAGATCACCTTTTCACAGAAATTTTTGTCTACACTTTACCATCAGATCCGAGAAATCCTCGATCATTCGAGGATTTGTCTATCAATCATGGTCAGGTGGAAGGTTCATTTATTCTACCCTTTATTAAAAGAATCATTCCTCCTATTTAATCAAATATCATTTATTGTTGTTCAAGGAATATTATATGCTACATTACTATTCCTGATTTTCCAGAACATTTATCATGTGTTACCAATACTGTCCGTCCAAATCTATATGATATTAATTGCTTCTTTTAAAACTAAGATCTGGGAACATTATTATTAGCTAAGATTAACCCTTGCTTACATAAATTTAATTATTTGAACCAGGATTTATATTTTTAGTCAAACAAACCCCAGTTAACCATGGGAGCTTAGCTGTTGGGACACTTGGACTTGCATTATCTAAATTTCAAGTTTTTATTTTTTTTTTATTTTTATTTTGTCTCATGAAGAGATATATACACCACTCATACAAGTAATGGTCCTATTATTTTATAGCCAGCCAAACAGAAGTGTGTGAACTCTTGCATGCATGGCCATGAGTTGCTCTAATATATGCGCTCTTGGTCAACTGGATACCGCAATAATCCACTATGAAACGTGGCAACTTAGTATTGGCGGTGACAGATGAAATTTGTATTGGGTTAGATTTTTTAGACAAAATGTATCTGAAAAAATCTAGTCATGTTTAATGGTGCTGAACTTTGTCAAATGGACAACCAAGTTAAACTTGTCATCCACCAATCAGAAAATGGATAACGATATTCTAGGATAAGGACTTTGGTCCTTCTGAGTCATTTATATGCACTTGATGCAAGGCATATGAAACTCAAGCAACAAATCAACTCTTCTTTTTCTGTAGTAGCTGCAGTCAAGACTACTTTCTTATCTTCCTTCTACAATGGCAGCTGCTACAATGTCTCTTTCTTCCCCTTCTTTTGCCGGAAAGGCAGTAAAACTCTCATCATCTTCCTATGAAATCATTGGAAATGGAAAAGTCACCATGAGAAAGACTGTTACCAAGGCTAAGCCCGTCTCCTCGGGTAGCCCATGGTACGGTCCTGATCGTGTCAAGTATTTGGGTCCATTCTCTGGTGACTCCCCAAGTTACTTGACTGGTGAATTTCCTGGTGATTATGGTTGGGATACTGCTGGACTTTCGGCCGATCCAGAAACTTTTGCCAAAAACCGTGAGCTAGAGGTTATTCACTGCAGATGGGCCATGCTTGGAGCTCTTGGTTGCGTCTTTCCTGAGCTCTTAGCCCGTAACGGTGTCAAATTCGGTGAAGCTGTATGGTTCAAAGCTGGATCACAGATTTTTAGTGAGGGTGGACTTGACTATTTGGGCAACCCAAGTTTGGTCCACGCACAAAGCATCTTGGCAATTTGGGCTTGCCAAGTTGTGTTGATGGGAGCCGTCGAGGGTTACCGTGTTGCTGGTGGGCCTCTTGGTGAGGTTGTTGACCCACTTTACCCTGGCGGTAGTTTCGATCCATTGGGTCTTGCGGATGACCCGGAAGCTTTTGCTGAGCTTAAAGTAAAGGAAATCAAGAATGGCAGACTTGCTATGTTCTCCATGTTTGGATTCTTTATTCAAGCTATCGTCACTGGAAAGGGTCCACTGGAGAACCTTGCTGACCATCTTGCAGACCCCGTTAACAATAATGCTTGGGCATATGCCACAAACTTCGTCCCCGGAAAATGAAGTTCTTAAAAAAGTGTGTTCTATTGCCTTGTTGTTTGATGGCTTTGTAAAGTTATTGTGAATTACAAGAAAATGACAATATGAAATTTGTTTGGTCTCCAAAAATTGTGTATTTCTCAATTATAATTTTCAGTACTTTTCATAAATCAAATACAAGTTAAAAGGTGGGAGAAGTGCTCCCAAGTTGGCAATGCAGAAGTCTTGGAACAAAGATGCCATCAGCAGTTGGTTCCAAGCCGAACAAGGAAATTGCAGAACAGAGCAAATTGAAATTGACACTGAAATATAATAAAGAGGCCGATTATTCTTCTAGATGTATGTAAAATCCCATGTTTGCAAACAAGTCAATTAGGCACTTTCTACTGTACATCTTATATTTTCTAGCTTTTTTAGCGCTATGAGAAGTATTTATAAATAATATATACATATTTGTGATTCACATACAAATATGAGCGTTACTGACAAGATGAGAGAGTTCCTTACAATAATGACATAATCGTAAGAATATTTTACACAAGATTCTAATTAATATGCCCGACTTTTAATACTTTGTGTTGTTTTCTTAGAATTCCTCATAGTGTAATCTGTGGGGATGGAAAACATAGGTATTGTGCTCATATGAACCCAGTTTTTTGGACATAGAATATAGTGAGTTGAGTGACTAGAACATAAAGATTAAACACATAAAATAAGAAGTCTAGATCCGCCTCTAGATATATAATATTACAATAGTGAATCTCTTAAGGGTATATCTCTTCAAATTTTTTATTTTTTTTGGATAAACAGGGATCATTATATATTAATACTAGGGAATATGGTTTAAACCATTACATATAGGTCCATATGGACATTGTTAAGCTGGCTATTACAGTACTTAGACATGTCCCTAAGGACATTTGGATTACCTAGAGATGCAAGCTTAGTGCAAACATCATTGCTAAGATATTTAACTAGATAAACAGTTCCTTCATAATCTGAGTTTAACACATTGGTAACAAAATGTGGAGGTTGTGATAAATACTTCAGACCTGCCGTTGGACTGTTGGAGAGCATTCCTTGTCAGCTTGCGAGCATGCCCATTAGCTTGCCTGAAGTTGTGTTGGATCATTTGGAGCTTCACTTAGAGCATTGACAACCTGCATTCGTGAATAACAGTGTTAAATATAGTATTGCCATGATCCAAACCATTAATGACATATGTCGAGTCAGTTTCAACTTCCAGTGGTGTTGTAGCCTTGTTCATGAGCAATACGCAGTCCTTCTTTTAGGGCTCCTTCTTTTAGGGCCAACAGTTCAGTTTGAAGTGGTGGTGATCCATAATTTGTATCTTTAAAGCCCAGTATCCAGTGGCCATTGCTATCCCTAAAGAGACCACCAAAGCCACAAATAGACGAGTTTTCCATGAAGGAACCATCAATGTTGAGCTTGTAAAATCCATGTGATGGTTTGTGCCATGTTACAACAATGGGCTTTTTATTGTGAGGGATGATTTCCTTCTCCGCAAGAAGTTTGTATTCCACAGCTAATTTAAAAATATTGCTTAAGTGAAGCGCGTATGATATATTTTCGTGAATATTTTTATTCCTATTGGTCAAAATATTCCATATAGCAAAAGTAAAGGCATTGGTCCAGTTAATAATACTATTCATAAGGGTAACGTTAAGATCGCGAATACTAAGGATCCAGTTATCATCATTAGCCCAGGTGCAGGGGTCTATACCTAAATTGCTCCAAAAATCCCTCACAATGGTGCATTCAAGAAAGATATGCTTAATGATTTCCTCGCTTGTTTTGCACACTGTGCACACAGGATCTACATTTTGTTGGGAATAAACCCCTTACCAAAATAATATTCACGGTAATAAAGCGGAATAATAATG